TCCAAATACATTTTGAATTCAAACATGAAATCAAATCTTCTATCAAAACAATAGCTTTTATTAACACCACAAAAATGATCTTAGCCTAAGCCAATCAATCCTTAATAAATTGTACGAATATATTACTTCAGTGCAAAACACACTAGGGTTTGTCTATGTATTCGCTTAAAGGACTTGCTTATACGGTGTTCCACGTCCTTGAGTGTTTGTAAGTTTCTCCTGGTAAACATGTCATTTTACATGGCCCTGGAGAATGAAGTCAAGAGGCGTCAGATTGGGAGACCTCGCTGGCCAATCGATCGGTCTGCCTCTATCTATCCAACTATTAAGGAGCCAGCGGTCTAGATACGGCTCTAAAAGTAGATCTATTCTAGAAAAACATTAAACCAAAACAATAAGCTGCCGTGTTCAGTCCGTGATCAGCTTGCTGATATATAAGTACTCAGTGACATTAGAAGTGTTACACCCAGAAAACATAATTTCTTCAAGTTGATTTTTTAGCAATGAGGTAGTCTTACATGAAGAATGAAACGATACCATTCTCACGAAAACAAGTAATAAGAAAAAATTAATGATGTGCTGGGCGACCCCGCAGCTGAATACTCTCTTGTCTGGTTGTGACACCTCATTCCAAGCTACTAGAACCTCGTGGATTAGCTGTGGCAGAGTCTTTGTTGGATGATGTAAAGTGGACAGTCTGCTCCCCATCACATCCCACACATATTCGATGGGATTCAAATCCAGTGAACGGGATGGTCACGGCAAAACATTAATTGATTGAAAGAAGTCCGTAGTACAACAAGCAATATGGGGACGAGCGTTGTCTTGCTGAAAAAGGACGTGTGGACGGCCCTCTAGATAGGTACGGCAGTTAAGTGGCTTGTAGGAGAGCATCAGCATAACACGCAGCAGTCATATTGCTTTGAACAAAGAGAAGGGGTGATCGGCTACCATAGGCAATAGCCCCCCAAACTATTACTCCTACAGTCCTGGGTACATGCCTCTCAGCAGCATCGTGGGTACCTAGACAGAATAGCGATTTATCGCTCAAGATGACATTAGGTAATCCTGCCTCCCAATGTTGCCGTTTTCTGCTCCAGTTCAAACGTTGGCGTCAGTGGCCCGCAGTCAGAGGAAGTAATAACCGTGGACGATATGAAAAAAGTCCAAAGGCTCGAATGCGGCGATAGAGTGTACCCATAGTAACAGGTCTATCTTCTTCTCCAAACCATTGGTCAGCGATCTGACGCTTAGTGGTACGTGAAGTATGTGTGACTATGTTTGGGTTTAGCTTCTTTCTTCAATAGACGGACTATAAGATCCGGAAGGTATTATTAAACATCAGTGATATAATGGTGCTTAGAGTTAAACACAATAAGGAATAATATTACCCAACTTGCTGATACAACGTGGTTGTGAAAAAATACTGGACCTGAGATCAAACATCTGGGAATCAACAGAACTACTTGGAATGTATTGCAGCAATTTCATCATTAATGAGTGTATTGGGTTAGAATCAGTCTTGTGTGTGTGTGTCGTTTTCGTGGAAGTCAAAATATGGAATATATTTTTTTCTAATACTACCAATAGCTCGAGAACTGATCGAAAAAAGTGGTGTAAGCTCAATTTAAAAAACGGTTCCCGAGAAAAGCTATTTAATGATGTAGAAATATACAGGGTGTCCCATTTGAAATGTATGAGATAAGGTACATTTTGCGTTTTGAGATGCCCTGAATAGATATATAGATATTTTAGCATTTCTTCCAGACCAGCTTAAAATCGATGATAATATAATTTTTGTGAGCTGAAATTTAACTAAACATCTTCGAAAATGGCAGGACTGCGAGACGTCAAAGTTGGACATTTTCTCAGACATTTCATTAAATATCTAAATGAATGATACTCGAAACCGTATGTTATAAGATATCAAACTCCTCGACTTTAGAAGCTCTATCCAAATATGCAAAAATATAGGATATTCTATTAAAAAAGGCATGTTTCCTATGACGCGAAGTTATGGAACACCCTGTATATATTAAAACAGTTTAAAAATATGCAACAAGACAAACATTTGATATTTTTTCCAGTTTGCTCATAAAGCCATTTTCCATTTTTGTTGGGACCTCCTGTATAGCAGCAGTAAAAAGCTATCCTATCCTGTATGGTGGACGACGGGAGCGACGACGCTACCAAATAAATTAATGTTCATGTTAAATCATATATTAAACAGTGGTTTATAGTCGCAGCAGATTAACAATTATTATTTCATGTTAGATGATTATGCGTTTTCCCTTAGAATGGTAGCAGTAAAATCGTTTTATAGCCTGGTGTAAACTAATGCCAGGTGTAATATATTCACTTAAAATGGTAATTCAAATTGAGAAGACTCTACGACAGGATTTTTATTACTGGAAGCGCATCAGAGTGACAGGTTAGAGTAGTCACGTTACATTTGGAAGGAGTTGAAAGGCTTGAGATCTTTGAATACATCTATGCGAGTATAGGGTGTATCAAAATGAATATTGAACGATAGATAGTAGCAAATGAACGTTGTCTTTCCTTATACATACATTGGAACAATTCCCTTTTCATAGACATCACTGGAAATAATATTTTCGTTTTTCAACTGGCATTATTAACTATGTATTTAGTCAATTGGTCATTAGTTGAATAATGTTTCTTAAACATTTCGAGGATCTCCGTTTTGATGGCATAGAGCGAGTATGGCGATTTTACTGAACTAAAAAGTAGAAAAGAATTTTTAATTACAAAGAGTTTACATTAGAGTAGTAAATGGTCGAACAATCCATCATAATTAGTGACTTCCAAATAAAATTACAATAAAATTTAAGTTATTAACAGAATAATTCAATTCAGAGAAAAAGCGTGGGGTACCCACCGCGGCCAATCCAACGATTTGGATAAACAGTTTGTAAATAAATTACGAACCGCTACACAGAAATGCACTGGTGCACCATCATGCATGTACCACATATTGTTTCTTATTACTAGCGGAACATCATCAAGCAGCAAAGGCAACTGTTGTTGAAGAAAATAGAGGTAGGTCTGTCCGTCAAGTCGTCCCGGCAATAAGAATGGGCCAATAAAGTGGTTGCCAATAATTCCTGCCCACACGTTAACCGAAAATTGGTGTTGGAAATGGGTTTCGGATACGGCATAGGGATTTTCTTCTGCCCACAAATGATTATTGTGGAAATTCTGAATGGCATTTCGAGAAAAATTAACTTCGTCCGTGAACAGAATCATTGATTCAAATTGCGGATTTTGTGTAATTTTTTGAAGATACCACTGACAAAATGTCACGCCCTGGAAAATCAATGGGAACTAGTGCCTCTACTCTTAAAATATGAGAAAGATATAACAAAAAATCCACTAAAATTCTCCAAACAATTTGATGGCAAATATTTAAGTGTCTAGTGATTTTCCTCGTACTCGTTTTAGGATGTTCTTCGACTTCGTGCTCCAATGCTTCCTCAATTTCAGGTGTTCTCACACTTAGAGGTCTACCTTCAGATGTTTCTTTTCAGACAAAACCAGTTTCAACAAGACGACGATGAATATTAGAAAAGGTTGGACTATCTGGCAAAGCACGATCGGGATATCTCTGGTGATGAATCCGTCTGGCTTGCTCACCATTACCGTCGGCAAGACCATATACGTAATGCATTTCCGCCCTTTCTGCATTTGAATAATTCACCATTGAGGAGGTGATCTGCAAACTGCTGTCTTTGAAATTTCAACGTTTTGAGATAAAGACGTTTTTTTAAGGTGCGTAAATGGAGAAGTAGAAAGCTAAGCCAAACATACCACCTCAAATTTCAGAGACAACGAAATGGCTACACTAACCTGCTGAAATCTGGTCCTTGTCGTTTGCTGACTAACATAAAAAAACAAACAAAAAACCGCATTTTGATTTTCCACATCTATTAAAACTGCGTTTTGAAAAACCAATCTATTCATATGAAACATAAATGAAACGGAAAGTTATATAATTATATTTTCAAGCCAATGTCTTCCTCAGCACAATCACACAACTCTGGATCTACATCGTCGGATTCCGGGCATGTTTCTTCCTCGTCTCCTGTTGGATGTCTTCTTTCATTTAGTAGGTTCTTGTACCAAGCGAAAGTTTCATTATCTTCCCAGTCTTCTTGATACTTTTTTAATAGGGTTTCAACGTTTTCAAGCTCAATTTTTTTAATGCTATTGCGCAGTTCAATTTGCTTAGGTTGGTAATTTTCTAATTTCGCACCTCGTTTCAAGTAGTTCTGATACTTTGTATCGTTGTCTGTTCTGAAGAAGACTTCTAATTTTGTCAAACACTTTTCACGAACCCTTTTCAAATGAACTCGCTTCACTTCTTGTATACCACTGATTTTCTTGAATTTTGTACTAGAAAAATCCTTCCAATCCAACAAGTCCCAATCTTGTCCCATCACTTTAACATTCCCAACTTCTCCAAAGATATTCCAGTATTCTTCCTTAGTGGTAATTTCAGACCGCTTTCTGCAGATCTTCTCTATCCGACCGAATACTCTGTCTGCAGGTAGATAAGAATGACCTCTCACCGGAAAATACAGGACCACCTCTTCAATATGTTTAGGTGCCTTAGTGGAAAGCCAAAACATCAACATGTGGATGATAAAAGAATTTTTATTTTGTCCTCCGCATCCATCGGCGAATAGTCTAACTAATTTACAAATCTCTGGAAACTCGCGATTTGTCAAGAAATGGTATATGGCTGATCCTATCTCATTCGGTCCCCTTTTCGCTTGATTCTCTGTCCAAGTATAAAAGTAAGGATGTCTTGTACTAGGTTCTGTTATGCAAAAGTTGTGTAGAGCAAGTTGACGTAAATAAAATGCTTCCCCTATGTTCATTTTAGGCAACGCTTGGACTTGCTGCAAGTCAAAACATACTGTGAAGCTGTTCTCTGGAATTGCTTTCAAAAAAAGGTGGAATTGTTTAGCTCTCAATTTATGAATTCTCAGCTCAGTAATAGAGTTTCCTTTCATAGCTACATTCTTTGTGGATCTAATTGTATTTTTCAGACGGGTACATAGACTACATACATCTTTTGCGGAATTCCCAAAGCCGAGATTGAAATAGCGCACAAAAATATTATAAAAATAACGACGCGAGACTTTTAAATTCAGCTCTACAGAGTTATTATAAAGTTTTGATAGTTACGCAATATTCAAGTCAGATGAAAGGTAATGTCTCTTCGATTTCTTACGATTGTAATGACTTTCACTTGCATGTAAACTCCCAATGAATCTTTTAACACTGTTTTTCTGCTCCTCATATTTTTTGCTTCTCCGATCACCTCCCCTTCTCTCAATTATCTGCCCTTCTGCCGTCTTTTTTCGATAGTAAGGATATTCCGTTGTGAGATCTTCAAAGCAGCCAAAAACGTCTTTTGACACAGTAACAGCCACTCAGAGTTAATATTTCTTAAAAAATAATCCAGCCTAATTGCCTGGCCTTTATTTGTCAATGTTTCTTCACTTTTTTTCCTTTTAGGATGCTTAACTTCAATCAAGTGGGCTATTTTATTATCTATTATCGTTTTTACTGGTTGTCTATACACAAACTCTCTAACACGTTTTACATCCTCTGTAGAAACTTCATGACATTGGAGTGCAGTTTTTAAATGCTTGCACTTCACTTCAAAATCTTCAGCATTAGGCATATGATTCATGTATCTAAAACAATAAAAAATATAAAACAACTCCGCTCACTTGCTTTTATATTCAAACTTACCGCATTTTTTTGCCCTTTCTCGTTTAGACATAGTTCGTTTTCTTTTTCTCGAACCATCAGATGCGTCACTAACTAGCACTAGACTACTATCATCCATTTTTAATTTCGAAATATTGCGTAATTTAGCAGCAACAGATCGCAAAAGTATAACACGCACACTTCGTAACTGCCGGTAAACAATTGAACTATTCACAGCCGGTCTGAATATCCCCCCACTTATTCAAAGAAATACTGCGTTTTGTCGTGCATGTGTAATTTTGATCAGCAAGTTAAGATTTGAAAAGTTGCGCTATGATTTTCCAAGCATGAAGTAATAAATTGCGTTTTGTTATTCCTAGTTGAAACAAAATAATGCGCTTTGTAGAACACCACAATAATTCACTAGCTATTACAAAGGGAAAAACTGCAGTTTGACGTTTTTAATTAGGTTTATCGGGTAGAGGACCATTGAAAATATACGATCACATGCCTAACCCAGATTTGCCAATTTTTCAAAAACTGCGGTTTGAAGATCACCTCCTCCATTATTAACAAGATTGTAAAAACTAAATAATGAAAAAGATGTCACAGCGAACAGATTTGAATAACAGAAACTTGTCAGATGTCAAAAGCCAGTGACATATTCCAGAGCAACTAGATATTTAGTGCTAAATTGCGTTCTTCAATTATTACATTAATTTTCCCGGGCAATAGAACGGTTCTTATTTTTTTACTCAAAAACGGCGCATCGAAAGAAAACAATTCAAGAGAGATCATTTCGTTTAAATTGAACGGGAAATTCAAAAATAATTTTTATTTGGCAAAAATCATTGGTGTACTATTTTTTTCTCAAAAAATATCAAAATCAATACCCGTACGCACGCTACTGTTGAAGCTAAAAATTATTTTTGCATTGAAAAATACGCAAGTTCATTAACTTTCACTACGTACTAAATATTAGTAAAATGTCACCCCGAGTTCTTGTAAGGAAACATTTTTGGACCACAGTTTATAGAGCAAACTAACATTAATTTTTCATTTAGACTCACACCCTTAAATATTCGCATATCATTAAGGAACACCCTGTATAGAAAATATCCATATGAGCCTTAAATAACCCAGAAGGCATACGCGTGGGGAAGAGCGTCCTATCTGCTACGCTGATACAGCAATTTCTGGAGAGGGTCAAGCAGAATGATAATCGATGTCAAGAGAGTTCACAACGAAAACTTAAGATGGTCTCACTACCAAGAAATCAACAAGTTGATGGTGGATTGTTACCTATTGAAAACTTAAAAGGTAATCAAACTGTTCCAATATGGAAATGGAAACTAAAAACTTGGAAGCATGATCCGAGCTCTTGAAACTTAAACCTATTCTAGGTAGATGATTATGTAAATTTTCGTAATGTGGACAGATTCAGTTAAGAAAAGAGGTTTTTAACCAAATGGACCAAGATAGAACTTCTGGCATCAGTGGAGCGTAAAAACACGTATATTTAGGACATTACAATTACAGAACGTTCCAACTAATCCTAAACAAGAAAATAGCAGGCATACAATGATTGGGAAAGAAAAAGCTTTCATGACTTCGAAATATTCTGGAGACGCAAACGTAGAAAAAGAGACCGCAACAGGTGCCAACAAATTGTCGACATGTCGACACTTATGTTCTGAGCAGGGTACCAGAAGAAAGAATGAGAGAGAGAGAGAGAGAATTTTTATTTCGAGTAAGCGATTTAAGAAGCTTCAGAGGCGGCTATTGTTCATAATATTTTCGGTGTTCAGTAAAATAAATTGTTATGGTAATTTGAAACCAGAAAGTAGACAGTTCTTGTTCTTAATATGAAAGAATAGTCAAAAAGGCGAACCGTATTTCAGAGAAGTTCCTCACATCCGACAAAACGTCTGACGCATCATGAGTCCTTGCAGCTCGAACACTCTCAAGTAAAGTTATATTTACCAGTTCTTGAAATACAAAAATAATGAAGTAGGATGTAATATACTCGTACAGGGTGGCCCAACGAAAAGGTCGCATCCCTATTTGTGACTCTCCTGGTATATTTTCGAAACGTCAATTTTGATTTATAGGGGACGTGTTTTCAACTATCGCCGTACAATACAGGGTGATCCAAGAATAAGATGTTGTGTTATACTTTAGATTTTTAAATGGTAACCCCTATATTTTCAATTTTTAGATTTTCCATGAAGTTTATAGTAATCTTTGTATAATAAAGTTCTATCTTCAATTGTTGTGAAGCTATTTGAGTTTATAATAAAACTCTAGAAATTGTGATAATGAGGGATTATATTGTAAAAATATTAATCAATATAGTTACCGTAGTAACAGCACTCTACCTTAAAATTATAAACAATTCTCCGAGTATTAAAAAATAAAAACAACTTACAGTTTACACGCACATTAAAGTTGAAGTGAAAATTAATTTGCTATAAAGAGGTAGGTCAATGTAGTAAAAGCTGAAAGTAGTGTTCATTTACCACCATGCAAGAATAAAAAAAAATCAAATCTATTCTTCACATTTTCAAGCATGTCTTGATTTATTTGTCTACATTCAGTCGTAATCCGCTGACGAAAATCTTGAATGGAATCTGGCTTCGTGCTAAAAACTCTACTTTTCAAATGCTCCCAAAGAAAGTAATCTAAAGGACTTAGGTCCGGAGATCTCGACGGCCACTCGATATGGCCTGGTCTGCCGATCCACTAATTCGGGAAATGGGTGTCCAAAAACTGTTGTACTGGAGCCAAATAGTGCGGCATAGCACCACCTTGTTGGTAATGAAAGTAATTTTCATTATAATTAACGTCATTTTCTATGATTTCGGTAAATCGTGGCTCTATTGTATTTTCTAACATGTCTAAGTAGGTATCGCCCATGAATAAAGAGAGGTCCTACGATATGATTTCCGAAAATGCCCACACATTTATTTTTTGTGGATTCGAGTCACTCCAATATCGACAATTATGTCTATTTACAGCACCATGTAAATAGAACGTAGGCTCATCCAAGAAACAAATATTAAATAACAGATTTGCGTTGTTGATTAAACGTTCGGACATTAATTCACAAAACTCCAACCTTCTATCAAAATCATCTTCATTAAGTTCATGGGCAAGTTTTATTTTGTACGAGTGAAATTTATTGTCATTCAAAATCATTTGTACTGTTGAGCGTATAAATCCTGAAGTAATCAGTCCACGAGCGCTTTGGGTGTTGTCCAGCGCTACGTGTCCCAAAACTGCTATTTCTGCGGCTTCATTTCTAACTGGTCGATTTTCCCGATAGCGATTACGGCGAATATTAGACATAGATCCAGTTTCTTCAAATTTTCTTGTCAACAGCTTCAGACTTATCGTTAGTACTTTTGTCTGGATGTAATACATTAAACAACCGGGCAACGCTCCCATTTTGGTAATACAGTTTTGTTGTTTCTACCCTTTGAATTGAATAAGTCATTGTTCAACATTTATCATAACTAGGTAGATAACTTAACAATTTGTAATGAAAGACTAAGTTTTTATATGACACACAATGACAATGAGTGATGCTAAATGTTCTTGCTGGTATCCATGATTATTATTTCTTGCCGTGCATTCCATTATTATCAGTATTAAGTAAGTTAGTCGAATTTTATTATAAACTCAAATATACTAAGTGACATATAAATCCGAACACCCAGTTTAAATGGTTTTATTTTAATAAAATTTTGTATAAGTACTTAATGAAGCATAACATGTAAATGATAAAAATTTCAAAATGATTGCACTGCTTTAAAGTCCTTTGACCTTTAATAATGTGTGGATGCACCCTGATGTGCTACGCATTCTCCAACGCGCCTAGGCATGCTTCTGATCAGGAATGTCCTCCTGTGGTATCTCATTCCAGGCAACCACCAACTCCTCTCGAAGTGCTTCTAGAGTCTGAGGAGGACGTTGCAAATTGAGCAATCTCCTACCCATCATATCCCACACGTGCTCAATTGGGGATAAGTCTGGAGATCTTGGTGGCCATGGTAACAATGTGACATCATTATGTTGAAAGAAGTCTATTGTGCCTCTTGCAACATGTGGTCGGGCATTATCTTGTTGGAAAGTTGGATCTGCCAGGGTGTCAAGATAGGGTAAAAGATGGGGTTCTAGAACTTCGTGAATATGACGCTGCGCGTTCATGTTACCTCTGATGAAGATTAAAGGTGACCTGGAACCATAAGCTATAGCACCCCAAACCATAACTCCAATAGTGTGTCTTTCAACAAAAAACTGTGGATTCGCCTTCTAACCCTGGCACGACCATCGTGCATACCTAAACAAAATTGAGACTCGTCACTAAAGACAATACTGTTCCATTCCTGATCCCAGAGTGACCGTTGTCTGCACCACTCAAGGCGATTACGTCGGTGTTCTCGAGTTAAAGGGAGGACCCAGTGTGGCCGGTATGAAAACAAGCCAAAACTTCTCATTCGTCGGTAAACACTTCGCATGCCAATAGGTCTTCCGTGTTCTGCAAACCATTCATTTGCAATGGACCTGGTAGTGGAGAAACGGTCCCTTAAGGCCAATTATCTTCGGCGGCGATCTTCACGGTCTGTTGTTCTACGGCGGCGTCCAGTGCCACTTGCTCTTTGCGTACGGCCTTCTCGAAGCCATGCCTGACAACACCTAACCACAGTGTCTACACTTCTTTGCACTCTAACTGCAATTGCCCGAAAAGAAAGTCCAGCTTCCCGAAGTCCCACTATACGGCCCCTATCAAACTCACTAAGTTGACGAAATCGTACAGGTCTCCGTACTCTAGGCATCGTAACCGATCGTAAAGGATGTCAAGAACCAAAATCCGCCAACGTTGGTTCTTTACTGCGGTTGAAATATTCATTTTTAGAGCGTTAGTGAATTAAAAAAAAGCAGTATGAAAACCGGAATGTCCAACTTATAAGGCTGAAAATTT